TTGATTGTACTTTTAATGTTACAGTTTTTACTTTTTTGATTGTAAATGGTGCAGAGGAAATCAAGCAGCCATTTGATAAAGGGAAAGCTTCAGATATTTGCACATTGTAATGGGATGGATCTCTTATTGGCTGCCTGTTTGGGAGGAAGAAGGCTACAGGAAGATTTTGTACCCATTCAAATTTGCTGCAACCATTTCATGTGTTGTTTTTAAAGCTGATTTTGCTAAACTCATGTGATGAAGCTTGAAGCCAGAAGCTAATCTTAAGGGAAAGGGTTTAGTATTTTGAACAAACACTTAGTTTTAATGTATCTTGACATGTTCCCATTATTGGTTGTTGGAATGTTGGTTTGTAAATTTTTAATTTCCTTCATGATATTAAATACGCAATCAGAATTTTTTTGTTTTATATGGAGATATGGCTACACTCTACATAAAATCATTTTATTTGTTGTTTTTTTTTACAATTTCATATATACTAAGGGAAGGGGCCTCATTTAGTTTATTGCCTAGGGCCACCGAAAAGTCAGGGCCGGCCCTGTCTGCACCATGATGGAATAACTGATTTAGCCAAATCTCTGAAATAGACACTCATCTACTCAGCTAATTTATACCAGATGTGCCAAAATAAGATGCTAATTTATATCAGATACGCTAAGTATTATATACTCAGGCATCCCATATCATAATTGGCCATGAATATATGACATCTTGTTAAGTGTCGCACCAAAAGAAGAAGGAGGATGTACCTGGCTTTATTATACTGCTTGGCAACAAGAACATGAATATAGTGGAAATGCAGAAAACTAAACTCCCAAACATCTCCATACGGAAACCAAACCACTCATTGGACCCATTGGGCGATATACGAGAAACATTGCATTGTAGAGTATCCAGTCTCATTATCTTTTGAGAGAATGGACAAGGTTGTAGACTTTAAAGTTTCCAGATGCGTATGCTGAATTGGTACTTTTGGTCACAATATCAGAGCTTGTTTGTTTTTGCTTTGAGCAGTGGAGACGTGATATATTACTGGATTTCTAATTGTAGCCGGGCCGCTATACTTCAAAAATATTTGAATATATTCAAAGCGTATAGCCGCGCGGCTATACGTTTTAAATATAATATTTTTAGAGTACAGCCGCGCGGCTATACTAATAAAATTTTCGAATGTATTCAGATAGTATAGCCCTGCGGCTATACGGTTGAAATATAGTATTTTACAGGTACAGCCGCGCGGCTATACTGATAAAATTTTCGAGTGTATTTAGAGAGTATAGCCCTGCTGCGATACTGTTTAAATATAGTATTTTACAGGTACAGCCGCGCGGCTATACCTGTAATTTGATTAAGAGTTTCTTCTCTCTTGGGCATGAGAGAGATGAGCAATTGATTTGTAAAACTTTTCAACTGCACTTTCATATAAGACCAACTCAACTCAACTCAAATTATTGAATCATTCATTTAAAATTATATTTCTTATGGTAATTCATTTCACATTATTGAAATCACTTGGATCTAATTGAGTTGAGAAGGTTAATACCAAATCTCAAATTTAGTCTGCGACTGTCAGAGACCAGATTGGCCACATTCAATAAAAAATTAATACTTGTTAATGTGCTGTGGCAGAGCACAAGCAAATTCAAGCCTCTTACCTAACCTGACATGATCCGCCCAAATTCCTATTTGTGTCGAGCTAACATAACATGGCCCATGGCTAGGATTTTAAGAATTGAAACACTTATAGTCCCTTCCAAATTTTAACGTTTGTATTATATTTGGGCATTTTAAGTCTAAGATAATTTTAATGTGTATTTTTTGTGTGTGGAAAAATAGCTGAAACCAAGTGAAACTGAAACCGTAAGTGGTGTTCAAGATGACATCTTTCAATCTTGGAGTCAGAATGGAGAGTGCCCGGACGGAACAATCCCCATTGTACGACGAACACAGGGATTTGAGCACCCTCCATCTAAAACAATGCCACACTTTGAGCCCAACAAACATGAGTTCATCCCTCCGCCTCATCATGAGGTACCACATCAACTTTGAATCATTTTAATTACATTTAATAATAATAATAATTTTAACTCAAATTTTTTAATTTATTGTGTAAACACTAATTCTTTGACGTATCTCTTGGACAGTCCTCGTGTTGCATCCCCTTCTTTTTGTGAAAAAAAAAAAAAAATCTTTCACCTATACTAAATAAAAGTACCAATTTTTATATGGTTATCAAAAAACAAAAAGATATATTGTTACTAGGCTCTCTCAATTGGTTTTTGTTGTTGTTGTATTTTTCGAGTTATTTACACTAACAACTCCTCAGGTTTTTGACATTTTCACAAAATCCCTTGATGTTTCAAAAATTACACAAACACCCCTTTAGGTTTTAAATTATTTTCACAAAACCCCTTTTTCCTAATTTTGTCATTTTCACACGTTTTTTCAAACTGAAATCATCAAGTTTATTCCATTTACTTTTTACCTTTTTAGTATGCCCAAGTTAGTTTGTACGGCGGTCAATACTATGGAGCGCAAGCAGGATTTAATGTATGGAACCCAGCAGCATATAATGAAGATAACAGTATAGCCCAGATATGGGTTGTGGGAGGTAACGGAAAAGCAGTGAGCAGTGTAGAAGCTGGGTGGATACGTGTAAGTTTTGGCCAGCCAGATATCCCAAGAAAATATGATTATTTTACATTTCTTTTCACTAAATCTTATATTGAATTATATGAAAATTAATTCACTGGTTGTTTTTAGATGAACCCGCGCGACAACCGAACACTCTTGTTCGCATTTTGGACTGTAAGTTTCTAGGATCGCCTCACATTATGATATTCTCTTCTGATTAGATTTTTGAACCAACAATATGGATAAAAGAATGCGCGTAACAATATAATATGCGTCTTTCGATTTTAAAGACGTATAAAATGCACACTATGAAGTGCATATTGTTGTGTACAGAAAAGAACTGTGCTGCATTTTTATGTGCAGCAACTAAATTACATGAAAATCTGAACTATTAATTGATCATGATGTTTCTTATCAAAATGTTCAAATTTACAGTCTGACAAGACAATCAAATGTTTGACCACATAATATGTTTCTAGCTACGTACAAAGGGAAGTAGTATGTACAATATATGTTCATAAACATATACAAACGTAAATGATTGATTAATTGAAATTTTAAAAAATAATTTGGGAATACCATATGTTGCTTGCCATATAAGGAAAATCCATGTAGCAATACAGGCTTGTCGAGCTCTGTGTATATAGTTCTCCTCCAGACAGGAAGTCCGTTCTTTACTCAGGTGTCGATACCATTTCTGGATATAACGTGTCCAACTTGATATCGGTACATTATTGACAACATATATAAATGCAAAATTTGTCCGACAGTAATTCAATACATTTATGTTTCAGAACACAAATAGTGGCCATTGGTGGCTTAATGTGGGAAATGAGGCAATAGGATACTGGCCTGACACCATCCTCCCAAGTCTAAGAGGCAGTGCTGAATTGGTTAGTTGGGGAGGGGAGATTTACGATTCACAAGCTGAGGGTCATCACACATCTACTCAAATGGGGAGTGGTCATTTTCCAGATGAAGGCTTTGGGAAAGCCAGCTATGTTCGCAATGTCCAATACATGGACGATTCTTCGCCTCTCACTTTCAAAGATCCTGCAGCTCTTCTAACTTATGCGACAAAGCCTTCATGCTACAATTTAATTGTTAAAGACAAAGCCCCAGACATGGGAACCCATTTCTATTATGGAGGTCCTGGGTTTTCAGCAACATGTCCTTAGTTTTGTAAACAATTATTATTAGGTACACAACGAAGAGCAAACGGATACGTTTGTATCACAAATGGTCCCTTAACTTTTTAAAAGTCCCTTCTCATCATTTCAGTCCTTAAACTATCAAATCAATAAATTTGGTCCTTCATTTCTTGATCTACACATTAGTTTCGTCCCTTGCATTCTTACAAAACTTTTGTTAAAGTTGGTCATCACGTTACTAACTTTAAAGGGACATTTTCATCATTTTAGTCATAAAACTCACATTTTACTCAAAAAGGTCATCCTCTTCTTGGGGTTTTACATTTGGAATCTATTAAGGAGAGCAGGTAGCATTGTTGAGCAAAATAAGTACGTGAGATTTACTTTTTGTTATGGGTGGATAGGTTGTGTTTTGACGAAAATACCGCTTTAAAGTTGATCAACTTGATAAATTTTAATGAATATTTTGATGAAATGCAATGAGAGGGACCAAACTGATGTGTGGACCAAAACATGAAGGACTGAATTGATTGATTTGAAAATTGAAGGACTCAAATGAAGACTTTTGAAAATTTTAGGGACGATTAGTGATAAAAACACTTAAAAGTATATATAAATGTTAGGGTTATAGACTTTCAACCCTAACTCTAACTCATCATCTTCATCATGCCGCCCCTTTCCCTCTCTCTCTCTCTCTCTCTCTCTTCGTCTTCTTCTCGTGAAGCTTGATCTCGCCTTTGTCTACATCGATCTTGTCGTCTCGCCACTTCACCAACTCATATAACTATTAATAGACATCAGGACACAATTACATTAAACCAAAGACCCTATTTATTATAGATAATTATACCATGAACCTAATCTCCCAAACTTGAACCAACAGACTAATATACATGAATCTAAACCCAAAACATTTATTCCAAATGCATGAACTTCCTCTTACTTAAATTCTATCCCAAAGGTCCATATATGCCCTTATGGTGATACACCTTGTGGTGTATTTTTCTGTATGTGGAATGGTCATGTGTGGTTAACGTGCTTTCATATTTGTATCAATCCGTTTTGGGTAAATTATGCCCTTGTGGCTAATGGTCTTGGTGCTTAAGTTATTAATACAATTATCGCTCACTCTAAAAAAAATTAATTACATTCTATCCCAAGGGTCCATATACCTAAGAGCTAATCTTTTTGCATCACTCTAATTAGTATAACTTTTGAGTAGAATATAAGAGAGCATTTTTTGCTCATCTTCATTCTCAACACTTGACACGTGTCCATATGCATAACCATGATTATGCCTATGAACACGTGTTAAGTGTTAAGAAGGGTGGTGATGATAGTGAGTAAAAATATTTCCAGCTAACCTTTTCTAGCATAAAAAAAGAAGAAAAGGAATATAGCAAACCTTGATAATAAAATTTTAATGTTTGCCTTATAAGTCTAAATCCTGATTTTTAGTAGGTTATGGTAAATTATAGTAAGCTAATAACAGTCATGGCACTCGAGTATAATATATAATACATTGGGTTAAAGTTGCCCATGGTAATTAACCTTTTTTTTTGCAGATAGTTTTGAAGAATTTCCATTCAATATGGCAAATGGGATTCGAAACACCAAAGTCGAAGGCTACATTTTTCTTGTAGCAATAGCAAGTTTCATCTTGAGCAACGGATTTGTCGATTGCAGAAAAGTTGAAACAGTGAAAACTAAAGAGTCTGTGAAGCACAACCAATCAGTCCTCAAAACTATAAAGGTTCAGTCTATTTTAAAACCTTGCCTTGCCTTCCCCATTTTCTTATTGGAAAAACAATTTTCGCCATTTTAATTTTTCTATTTGTTCTTTTGGGGATTCATACAAGAAGTTGAAAAATAATCTCTGATTGATCTTCGGCAGGGAGAGGGCGATGATTTGATAGATTGTGTTGATATCTATAAACAACCAGCTCTTAATCACCCTCTTCTCAAAAATCACACTATACAGGTTTGCTCTTCTCTTTCTAATGAGATTGATAATATATGTGCTCGTTTAAAAATAAGAATAATGTTATAATCTGTACCATATTTACGGATCATATTTTTCACATATATAAGATCCACTCCTGTGTAAATAATAACACCTACATTCCATTAATGTGGTAGAAATAATTTTAATTTGGTCCTCTTCCAAATTTTAACATTTCTATTAAATTTGGGCATTTGAAGTGTTAGATGATTTTAATGGTTTTTTTGTGTGTGGAAAAATAGTTGAAACCGAGTGGAATTGAAACTGTAAATGGTGTTGAAGACGGGGTCTTTCAATCTTGGCGTCAGAATGGAGAATGCCCCGACGGAACAATCCCCATTGCACGAACAAAGGCATTTGAGCATCGTACATCTAAACCAATGCCACAGTATGACTCCAACAAATTTGTGTTCGTCCCTCCTCCTAATCATGAGGTACCACATCAACTTTTTGAACCATTTTAATTACGTTTATAAATATAAAATAAATATATAATTGAGACATGCTTTGACGTAAATATGGTTATAAAAATAAAAATAAAACGTTTCTATACATTATTGTTAGCGTGTTTTTGTGCACTTTAATATGACGTGATTGTATTTTGAATTATTTTTTTTTTCTCGATACAAGTGGAGGATAGCAAATTTTATTGATAAAAAAAGAAAATGAGAAATGAGAAAATCCAATTCAAGAACCACAATGTAATGACTTAAAAATGGGTGCTCACCTAAGGACCATATATAAGGTCCTCACTATAGAATTCTTGATGCTTGGATGAAAAGCTGTACTGGTCTAAAGCCGGGGCAGCCTACAGTTCCGCTCTGCTTGAGTTATAAGCCCCTTGTTGTATTATTCATTCGTTTTTTTTATTTATCAATATGGACTCTTATTCGTTTTTTGTGTTTTGAAAATTTTCTTAAATAAACACAAATATTGAGTTATTTAATTTTTTTTTTACCATAAGGGTGTTTTGCTTTATATGTATATAGAAGATATACAGAGTAGTTATTATTTCATTTATTTAGCTTATTATCTTTGTAGTTTGCCCAAGTTAGTATGTACGGTGGTCAATACATTGGAGCACAAGCAGAATTTAACGTATGGAACCCTGCCGCATATAATAAAGATAACAGTCTAGCCCGGGTATGGGTTGGGAGAGGTAGCGGAAAAGCACTGAGCAGTGTAGAAGCTGGCTGTATACGTGTAAGTTTTAGCCGGCCAAATATCCTCCAAGAAAATATAATTATTTTACATTATTTATTTTATTTTATTTTCATGATGGTGAGTTTAATTTCAAGCTAAATCTACATTGAATGACATGAAAATTCATTGTGGTTTCTATAGATGAACTCGCGTGACAACCAAACACTCTTGTACACATTTTGGACTGTAAGTTTCCTCAATCCCCTCACCCCACATTATGAATTCGTACAAAATCGTAACTATAAATTACAGGTTACTTTTCTCTTAAAGAATACTTGTATTGGCAGGGTGATGGTGGCCAATCTGGTTGCTACAATCTTGAATGTCCTGGTTTCGTCCAAGTAAGCCAAAAATTTACCCTTGGCGGTCCCATGTCACCTGTTTCTAGCTACAATGGGGCACAGTATGATATATTCCTAAGCATATACAAGGTAAATGCTTTTGTTCTTAGAGAATGGACACTTTAAATAGTAATTTGGGGATACCATGTTGTTTGCCGTATGTGTATAAGAATTCCTTCTACCAATACATGCATGCCTTCTAACAGAGTAATGTTTTTATATGCACATATGTGTGTGTGTGTGAATTTATATGCACATGCACAAATATGTAGTAATTGGATACATTTATGTCTCAGAACACAAATAGTGGACATTGGTGGCTTAGTGTGGGAAATGAGGCAATAGGATACTGGCCTGACACCATCCTCCCAAGTCTAAGAGGCAGTGCTGAATTGGTTAGTTGGGGAGGGGAGATTTACGATTCACAAGCTGAGGGTCATCACACATCTACTCAAATGGGGAGTGGTCATTTTCCAGATGAAGGATTTGGGAAAGCCAGCTATGTTCGCAATGTCCGATACATGGACGATTCTTCTCCTCTCATTTTCAAAGATCCTGTAGGTCTTCTAACTTATGCGACAAAGCCTTCATGCTACAATTTAATTGTTAAAGACAAAACCCCAAAAATGGGAATTCATTTCTATTATGGAGGTCCTGGGTTTTCAGCAGCATGTCGTTAGTTTCGAAACGAAGAGCAAGCTAATTAGAATCAGCAGAATAATTTAGTTCATTGAGAGGTATGAGGGCATTGTAGCTCATCTGGGCATCCTTTTTCTCATATATCATATTTGGAGGGGCTTTGTTTATGAGTTCTTCAATTAATATCCATGCCGTTTTTGGTGAGCTTTATATATAATGCCTCTAAATGAAAATATTGGCAAGCTTTATATACAATTTGTCTAAATGAAAATACTGGAAATTGATGATGATTCCCTTTTAAAATTTCAAACAAGGAGAGTGGCAATTGGTGGCGTGAAGTGCAAGGCAAGTCAATAGGCGCATAACTAATATGTTGATTAAAAAAGAATGACAAATCCAATTGTAATTGGCTTGGAAGTGAATTTTTCAAAATAGGTTGGATTGGAAGCTATGCACACGCCTTATTAATGAAAGATAATTTTAGAGGTATAGAATGGGTCAGTTTCACAGAAGCACAAGAAGAAAACAAAGAACCACATGAAAGCATGTCTCCAAGCAACTGCTGTAATAGAGATTTTTCAGTATTCAAAAACACATTTACATTTTATTAACAAAATAATTGGATTACAGATATAGAGAGATATCAAACATTTAATACAGTAAAAAAAATTATAACACATATTAGTTTTCCTCTCTATACGTCTCATAATTGTAGTGATTTGAGATAAAATCAACTCCATTTATTTCCTCTCCTCTTGTATTGACAAGAATATCCGGGCTGCTGATTCAGATGCTGATTTAGTATTGTGAGGAACAACCTTGATCGCACGCGTCTGATGCTC